GGAGTTACACATGAGGAGGCTCTGGGGTAGTGAAGACCATGGGGAAATGAGAGGGATGGCAGTGTGGCCTGCAGGCTGAGAGCCCAGGACTGAGCGGCAGGGGTCAGTGGTGCATCCGGAGAGCTGGCAGGGGCCGGGCCAGGCCACGCTGCGGAGCCTCAAATCCAGGTTGTCAAGTGGGGATGACCCTAACCAATGGCAAATGTGGTTTTAAGCAGGAGAATGACAGGATTAAATGTCCAGTTTTGCAAGATCACACTGGTTGAAAAGTTGAGAATGGGCTAGGTTGGGGTCGGGGGCGGTTACTGCCGAGTTCAGATGAGAGCTGATGGTAGCCTGTACTCTTGACAGTGGAGAGAAGTGAAGTGGGTAATCCAGAGGTATGTAGAAGTGAGATTTTCCAGGATTTGATGATGGACTAGTCATGCAGATGAGAGAAGGGCGCATGGAGAATGACCCCCCAGGGTCACATCCCAGGGTATCTGGTGATTTTAATTGTGACTGATGCCTGGTATGACTTTGTCATTTAGTGATGACAAAAGGAGATCCAGACATTTCTACCAAATGCTGTTCACGTCCCCCCAAGGCGGTTCTGAAGTGAAGGTTAAGGAGGTGCCTGGTACTTATTTGCTCACTACCTTGTTGTTGTGCTGATCCTGGCCTTGACTCATTTTAATTGCTGAAAAGTCTCATGGTTTTTCTTTTCTTTTCTTTTTTTAAAATTGATTTTAACATATCATAGTCAGAGGGATGTTTTCATATATTTATTTCTGAGTTTTTCTCCCATAAGAGATATCCTGGTTTACATTCACTTGTAACTGTATAATTCACAAAATCGATCAATGAAAGTATTAAAATCAATGTATTAAATAGTTACCTAGGTAAATCGTATACTTCGAAAACTGCCAGCTGCTGTCTACATTCCTCGGTTGTGGTTTGCAGTGGAACGTCATCCTCACGCCTGGGCTTGTGGCGGGGAGTCCCAGGGTCCGTGACATGGCACTCCACCTTGCTCAATTTCAGCCTGTTCTGAGTTTTTTTCTGTCTAATTTATTTACACAGATTTTAAAATTATGTTTCAGACTTCCGGTTTTTAGCCATCAATCTGTATTCTCAGTTGAACATAAAATCTTCCCAACATTTTATTATGAAATTTTTCAAACATATAAAAGAGTTAGACGAATTGTAATACATATGCACCGACCACCTAGGTCCTATAGTTAATATTTTGCTCAACCATCTATCTGTCTATATATCTATGGATTCATCTATCCATCCCTCGATTCATCCATCAGTCCATCTTATTCTTGGATAGATTTCAAATTGAGTTGCAAACATCAGGACATTTCACCCCTGGTACTTTGGCATGCATATTACTAATTGGACGTTAATATTTGTTATCAGTTTTCATTTTTAGGTAAAAGTTACATATGGTAAAATGTACACTTAAGTATAACATCCTTGGGTTTGGCAAATGCATGTGCCTCTGGAACCCAGACCCCATTAAGACACCAAACTTTTCCATCTCAGACACTCCCTCAGGCCCTTCCCAGCTATCCCTGCCTCCGGTCCTTCCTTCTCAGCCCCGGAGATTACTTCTCAGCTCAGGCTTACTTCACCACAGATTAGTTTTGCCTGTTCTAGAGCTGTACACAGTGTCTACTCTTGTGCTGGCTTCTTTCACTCATCATCCACGTTTTTAGATTCATCCATGTTGTATGTTATCAGTAATTTTTCCCCCTTTTTACTTCTCAGTGGTATTCCATTGTGTCAATTTACCATAGTTAATTTCTCTTGTTGATGGACTTCTGGGCTGTCTGGGTCTCCTCTGAACATTCTCAGGTGAATCTTTTTGTGACTATATGCTTTTATTTCTCTTGAGTAGACTCAGGAGCTGGGTCATAGGGTAGGCCTATGTTTAATTTTATAAGAAACTGCCAGACCTTTTTCATAGTGATTGTGCAATTTTATACACCCTCCAAGAACATTTGAGAATTCCAGTCGTTCCACTTATTTGACAGAAGTTCTTTTTAGTTTTAGACATTCTGGTGGATGTGTAGAGAAGATACCGTTTTTAAATGATTGTTTTTCTCTTAAAGAGTAATCAGATGATTCTGGAGTCACACACACACACCCCCGTTGTGCTTTTTAGTGCCAGGCATAATCAGGTGTCTGTAAACAAAGCATTTAGCACAAGGACAGCAACATTTGTGGGAACCTATAGCATTTTAAATAATTGAAAGATTGGAATTATGAACTTTTTTTCCAAAAGCAGCTTGTAAGCTTCCAAGGCCTTTCCAAGGAATTCCAGTCTTGAGCTCTGGCAAGAGTGGTACTCACAGTGCAGAAACTTGGTGCTGAAGCCTGTGGGACACACGATAGCAGAATTCCTAGTCACTACTGTACACATTTCCATTACAAAAGGGAAAACAAAAACACTACACTCCAGAGAGACTGGCTGACACAGGAAATTGAATTATGATTTCTTTGCTTTAGTGTGCATGTGACAAAACCACTCGATAGCACAGATTCAAACCTTCCCCCAAATTACAAAGGAAGTGATATTCAAACAGATGCCTTTCACTGAACCAGGGGATATTGTCCTTAGGCCCCAGTTTAACAAGACTGGGACAGGGCTTCCCTCTGGGGCCTGACTGTAGAGACCACGTAACAAAGAGGAGATGGTTTCAGAGCTAGAGAAAGCTGGCTTTGAAATTGGGGTGGGCCATGTGCCAGCTGTGCCATTCAGGCAAGTTTCTCAACCTCTTGAAACCTCAGCTTCTCCATCCATCAGAAGGAGCAATGACCTTCCCTCCATTGCGAGGGAGTTGTCATGACTCGATTGCAGATGCAGAGTGGCCGTCTCTCACAGGCGGCTGCGCTGGTCACAGGACAAGCTGCTCCCTCCTCTCTTCCCCTCACAGTCCGCAGGCCCACGGGCCTCCCCTGGCTGCCCACCAGAGGATGCCGAACTACAGAAGCACCCATTGTGTGTTTGCTTCCTCAGTGTACTTGGCTGGGAATTATGAGGAAATGATTTTAGTGGAATCATTCATACCAAGTTATAAATGATAGGTGGGTTTACACATCCAAGAAGAAAATTCTAATTCTAAAAGAACTTTTTCGTTCAAGTGAGTCTTTGGTTATAAAAGGGAGGTATTTGGAAGAGAGACATAGATAACCTGAGACCAGATGCTTTCCATACAAATCATGAAGCAAATCATGAAGCAAGATCCTGGGCGCTGATGCCAACACAGCCCTGCAGGATCTCTGCTTGAGAAGCAGGGGATGGTCAGTCAGTCAGTTGGTCAGTGGAGAGTATTTCCAGTGTCTGCTGCTGTCCACAGGAAAGAGCCCAGCAGAGGCAGATGAGCAATTCAGGGGCAGAGGGTTGGGAGTGTGTGGCGTATTCAGCTCAAGAACTGCCGAATGCAGCATCCTAAGAGGAGAGAGAGAGAGCCACCTCAGCAGATGGACCTGGTACCTCTCCTCTCCCCTCTGCCTGTTCCCTCTTCTCCCCTCAGGGGCCAGTGCACATTTCCATCCCACAGGCAGGGTTGGACTGTGCATCTGCTGGACCTTGGGCTTCATCTGGTTCCATTAAGATTGAAAGCAAAGCCCATGCCGACCTCCTAGGAGCTTCACAGTTCAATCAGCTGGCCTGTGGAGGTCAATGAAAGACAAGAGAGGGATTTTCTGTGTAATCTGGGAGCCAGGGGACTTTGTTCCTAAAGGAGAGATATATTGTGACTTAAAGAGAAAAGTTAGCATTTAAAGTTCACTTGCTTTTGAGCTAACCGACTGAGAAGCTGTGTTCATTTGATCAAAAATTCGTACTCCACTCAGTAGCTTTGTAGCAAACTGTCTTTATTTGTAAAGGAAAAACATAAAACAGTTCACAGAAGAAATTAAAAAGCCCCGTAATTATGGGATAAATGAGTCACAGCCCTTAGTCACATGTAAGACCAAGACCTCACATAGGCTGGCCATATAAATGTTTGTTACTATGCAAAATGGACTGTGCAGAATAATTCATAGAAAACCCCTATTTTAACACTTCAGTTTTACATTTATATTTGAATGGTTCCATTAAGCTGGAACATTTACCTGTATCTGATATATAGGGAACTTCTGACTATTAGAGCTGATGTTACTAAACCAAACTAATCTTCCCTCATAAAGTCCTACACTCTCACCTTTCTTGTTTTCCAGGTTAGCTTATCCCATTCATTCAGTGCCCACAAATGTGTGATGGTTTGAGAAACTGGAAGTAGGTGGATTTAGCAGCAAAGCCGCATGATTATAAGCATGATCGAGTTAGACATGCCCAGCAACAGCCTCAGTTATAAACAAAAGAAATGCAGAACCCCAAGGAAAGCATATTCATCACTTGTAGTGTTAATGACCTCACTCAGCAGTTGACAGATTTTTATGGAGCATTAGCACAGAAAGTTTTTGATAATGAGAAAGAACGAGGTGCTAAACTGAATCTAAAGTTCAGGCTTTGTGAAGAAACATTTAGGAACCTGACTGTAATTGAGGAGCCTTTGAAGAGCTTTTCAGAAAGGTTTTTAAAAATCCTAGGCTTAAATTCAGATTGCTTTTATATGACAGGAAAAATGTATAACATGTCTGAAATATAAACAGGTTACGTATTAGCCTGATAAAAATCTTATTCAAATCCTGTTTTTTGCCTTTCTGCATTTCTGCAGACTGTCAGAGTGAGGACAGCTGACTGGAGCTCTAGATTCTTGCTCTGAAAGTGCATCCCTTGGGCATCTCCCTACTGTCAGGCTCAGCCATTCTGTAGTGTCTGACTGTAACAGAGCGTTTTTAGTATTATCACCTGGTGTACATCTTCCATCTGTTCATACTATCTGTGCAACTTCTTGCTTTCTGGAATTTTTCAGTTTTTAATGAAATTGTTTGGCTGGAAATGTAACTAATACCGTATTTGAAATCTCTTTCTCTTGCTTTACCAAACCTCTGAACAACTTTAGATTCACAAGATTCATCGTGATTCAGGAGACAATTCTCAGACAGGTGAGAGTACTTCCATTTTACTCTTATACACTTATACGAATTTGTGGGTTCAAGTCTATAAATTACTTGGAGGAAATCTGGACTGACAATCACCACCCCAGAACTTGGATTGCTGAAACCCAAGTGCTGATACTGAAAGGTTAGAAAGTCAGATTAAAAGCAGGATCCCTTTAAAAGTTTTGAATCTTCATTCATAGCAACCTTTTCTGCTGAATGCCTTCCCCATCCTGGTTTCTTTTGCTGGCTAGAAACCGTGGAGAGCAGATACACTCAAAATACACAGTGGCCCGGAAGTCCAGTGGACACAAGTTGTTAGACCATAGTCTTCCCTTTCTTTGAAGTAGTCAGTAACTCTATACAACGAGAAAATGGGGACGGGCCCTCGCCTGGGAGCCAGGAGCACCAAATCACCGTTTTAGCTGCCCTCACCCTCACCTCATACCTTGAGCATGACTCTGTCTGACTCTCCGTTTCCTCAGCCATAAAAGGAGGGGACTGGACCTAATGACTTCTACATTTGAAAGAGCTGGAATTCTTTGATCATTAGAGGGAAAAATCAGTCTGCCACCAAAGATTTAAAATTCTCCTTCCTGCACACACACCGCACATTCCCTCCCCCGCTGGCGGCTTTCCCAGCCACTGGGGCATAAAGTCAGACCCCCAGCTGCTTACATGGTCCCTTTCCTGGATTCTAGAATGGACTGTATTTTTGCCTACTCAGGAAAATTTCATTTGATCTTTCTGAACCTCAGTTTCTTCATCTGTAAAATGAATTTTTTTAACATTTTTTATTGATTTATAATCATTTTACAATGTGTGTCAAATTCCAGTGTTCAGCACAATTTTTCAGTCACTCATGGACATATACATTGTAAAATGAATTAACAATGCCGTCTCTTTGTGGTTATGAGGATTAGAGGAGAAAATGTATACAGTATCTAGCAGTACCTGGCATTTAACTGTTTCGTAGCCTCCTTTTCTCCCTACTTTTTCTCTTTCTGTCTCTGTTTCATAGATGTTTTGGTTTATTTCTTTAACACAGCAAGAGTATTATTTTAACTAACTTACAAGCTTCTGGGTGCCAAAAACTGTTAAAAGCATTTTCATATCCTTTATAGTGCCTGGCACTGCCTTGCACATAACCGTTCAGTAAATACAGAACGTTGACAAACTGAAACCACCCCATCTTGGAACACACAGTATGTTCCACTATTTATTAGCTCTTGGACGCTGCAACGCTAAAACCTCTCCAAG